GTCAAAGGGTTTGAAACAATCAGAATAGGGTTCCTTTAAAGGGGTCTATAAGGATTACTATTAGCGGCTTTTATACGGGTTTAGTATAGGGGCCTCAATAATTATCAACACGATTTTTGTTAGGGGGCGGGGGGGGGGGTTCCTGATTTAGGTTAGAGCATAAGATACCCCAAAGCCTCTTCCAGTTGGTAAGGCCCTATGTTATGGTCTGGCCGCGAGGATCAAACCTCCTGGTTTCAAGCCTTGCAATGCCAGAAACGGCAGTACTAGCGACTAGCAATCTGTGTTAACCATGCTGACCAGAGCAACCGGTAACACTAAAAATGTCACGGCGAAGCTGGCAAGGGTACTGGTAAGCAGAAGGCTGATCCGTTTGCAGCGGTCGAAGTCGTCGTGTGTTTCCTGCGGTCCGCCGGCCTTGTGGCACGTGTCCTCGCTGTCATAGCTTCGGTTCCAGTGGTGCCGCAAAAGCAGCCACAACAGCAACAGCCACAACTACAACCACACCCCAGCAACAGCAAAGACATCAACAATAACCACCTGCAACACCACCACAACCATTACCACCGCCACACCACTACCACGACTACCACCAAGCTGTGCTGCGTTAGAAGTGATCATATATAGTGTCTTGCCCCAGTGTCTTTATGAGCTCCCGTCGACACGGGCCTGTACATAGACTGCTCAGCTTGCTCCGGAGAACCTGCTTAACTGCGAATCTACGCCGACTTCAGATGCACTCAAAGAGTCGGAACACCGTGACCTGACGTGTTTGGGTGGTGGCATGTATTTTGAGCGCTTGATAATATTGTCAGGGGATGCGGCTAAGTGACGGAGAATCAGGATGTTGAGTGATCTGAATGCATATTATGATTGTTGACCTTCGTGAATGTTTCGTAGCTTTCGGGACGTTTCGGGTTGGTGCTTTGCCAGAGGAGCTCACCGGAAAGAGGGTGTCGGGTTGATAGCGTTGTTCGTGGTTTGTCTCATTGCATTTGCACCACTACTCAAGTACCGGAACCCGCAACCTTCAGCCCCGAGGCTCAGGCACTGAAGCTTCAGAATCTGATGCATTCCGTTGGACTTGCACATCAGGCGCGTTTGCTGTCAAAGACGCATGCAATATACCGCGAGAAGCGTCCACCAGGCAGACTTCCCCCGAGATATTGGCGTGTGATTGCCGCTTGTAAACTGTCCCTGGAGCCCTAGTGTCGGTCGCATTCTTATACTAGCATGCTCGTGCTTACAGTGTTGTTCATAGCATGTAACGACCTTCCAGAAGAAGCAGTCAAGAACGCAAGGTTCGAAATGCGAAAGGCTGCTATGACCTGCAATCGTTTGGAACATCATTCCGGCATATTCCGGCCAAACCTCAACACGCCGACAGTTGGTTTCTTTTCGCGGCAAGTTTTCATAGGCCAATGCACGCATGCGTACTCAAAGCTTTGGGCTACCACTTTCCGCTGCGCAGCTGTATTGAAGTGGTTGCATTGTGAGTCCAAAGTTGCCAATGAGTACATGCAGTTGCGTGCAGCACACGCAACAGACGTGCGTCAGCACACTACACGAGCATGCTGCCATCCGACCACCAACTTAGAGCCCGTGAGACAACACGCACATTTCGACATCGAATAATCGCCGAACAAAGCCTGAGTCAAGCCACGAAAGCTTGCATTCAATCGACAACCCGTGTCACACATGCTATAATCAAACCTGGAGTCAGCTGAATTTCGGACGCGCTACTGACGTTGGAGTTGGACCTTCATGCTTCAGGTCGGTCAGTCATGACATGTCATTATTTTCATGTTCGGCCTGTTCACGTTCTACCATCTTCGAAGTTCCTGAAGAGTAGCGATTGGTCGCATGGCATCTTTGGCGGAAAAGATTAAGGGCTTGGGAACACTGCATGTCGGGATTTCAGTTCTAACCATGAGTAATAGTTGTAGCCTCGAGGCCTGTTAAATTTTGGGAGCAACGTACGGTTGTGACGGCACAACTCAGATAATGTCGACACGTCGACTATCGCAATGACGCTTTGGAGCTTACGGTTCTTGCTGTGGTGGGATTTAGGAGTTCTGGAGGTGTCGCGGTAGGGGTTCCAGGCTAAGACAGATTCTAAACCGAAGACATAGGAGCATTGAGTATGTTTAGACCTATAATTTTCAGCCCCCGATGTCCGGGAGGACAGCGATTCGGACACAGCTCCAGCAGCTGCAGCGCCCCCGTCGGCTCCTGCGACGGCCCAGGTGCGCCAACTGACAGGGAACTAAGGGATTCGTTCCCAGTTTGAGACAGACTCGAAACCGTGACTTCGCCACAAAATGCCATGAACATTACACCTTCGGTGTTCATGTTAAAAGTTGAATCTGAAACCCCGAATTCAAAATTAGCATTCTTCGAAATGCTTTTCAACATCTTTCAACTCTTGGCCCGATAGAAAACGGGAGCTCCAGGATGATCTTGCGAGTCTGATGATGGAGCTTGCCTTCTTAATGAAGGGAACTCAAAATATTGGCTTCCCTCCGGGAAATGCACATTAAAGAAAAGGGCTTAAATTACCAACACTATTTGGGGGTTCCTTATCATGGTTATGGTATAATATACCCCAAAACGCAGCTGACCCATGGTATAGCTTTCAGCACTCGGACTACGTTCCACACCCGACGAACCTGAAGCCGTAAACCATCGAAGCCCGAACCTCCTTGATGGCCCATTGATGGTACACGTAAGCTTCAAAGTTGCATTACCTTTCCAAACGTGAACCTCATAGACCGCAAGTGTTAGGGCCTTATGCCCTAAACCCCGAAGCGTTAAACCCCTGAATAGTAAGCCCAAAGCCCAAAGCCTCAATCAAGGCCCAAGCCCCAGTGCTGCCAGCGCTTCCGGCGCTGGTGGCGCTGCGGAAGAGATCGGAGGCGAAGGCTTGAACCAATCCGCTTCAGGGGACTGCAAGTGTTGTATCAGGGGTCCTTGAGGGTTCTATCGGAGTCTTGTAGCAAGAGGCCGTAAGAGGTCTATGGTGCTTTAGTTTGGGGTTTCAGTGGCTGGGAGAGGCTGAAAAGACTACTGGACGTAGACAAACTACGTCTTGCAAGGGTATTGGGTTTTGCCCGTTGAGCTTGTTACTTTTTGAACTAATTGTGATCGTTGGTGGTTTCCGGCGTCAGGGCTCCAGCCGAAAGACAAGTTAGGACGAGGCGTTTGCCCCCGGATCTTTGTACAGGGCTTGGAGTTAGGGGCCGCACCCCCTATGCCCTTAACCTTTGAGACCTGCTCTGAATCACCACGTGTACACAACCAGCAACTCCCCAGCTAGACCGCTGGACCCTCAACGTCATGAGATTGGGAGCGCAGCACTGGAGTCATAAAACGCCTCCATGAACTGCTCAAACGTGGTTGATCATACTGCCACAGCCTGCTGAAAGTGATATGGGCACATTTAAGGGCTGGCAGAAGCTTCATCAAACAGCCTGCAGAACCCTTTGCGTGGCATGTTGCTCTGTGTCATGATGATCAGCTTCAGTGTCAGTTTGAACATCCTGCCCAGCTCACGAGATAAGTCCTCGTGCCGATAGCCAGCAGCTCTTGTTAACCAACTGGGCCGACGTGGCTGTTCGTCGCAGCGTCCTTTACCGCAAAGAGGAGTTCAACAAGAACTCCAGACATTTTCGTTCGGGATCCACGCCGGCCCTTTCAGCTTCAAGGCCAAGCTCTAAGCCCTCACACCCCGAAGCCTAAAGGCTATAAACCTTGAAACCCCGAAACCCTTGAACCCCTAAAGCCTTAAACCCGAGATCCGCAAAAACAAAACCTAGTAGTCGAGTAGGTGACCTTTAGCCTTGTTTTGGGTAGTATAGTCCCTATATAACCCCTACATAACCAACAAGGTTAACCTTTAGTTCCCCATGATACCCGACAAGTACTTAGAGGATCATGGGACTTAGTAAGTAGGTTATAATTGGGGTTATAAGTCCCCTAAGTAGGGTTATCCTAATCATAACCTACTTATAACCTTACTTACTAAGTCCCCTGAGCCTTCAAGTAGGAAAAGTTTCCTACAAGCAAGCCCAGTCTGCCGCACGGTCGCCGCCAGCCGTTTCGGCGCTGCCACGGCCATCGGAACCCAAGGCGTTTGGGGGGGTTTAGGGGTTTAGGGGTTTAGGGTTTAGGGCAACGGGTGTTTTTGGCTGATTCGGGAAGGGTTTAGGGTTTAGGTTTGGCTTCTTTGGGAAGGGGTTTTCTGTATATGGTACAGGGTTGGCTTATTTGGGCAAGGCACGGAGGGAGCTCTTGCATGCAGGCTGCAGGTTAAGTTCGAGGATTTTGGATGGAGCCTTCGGATCTAATGTAGCAAGCTGGCGTAAAGCCCTAGACGCCCCTGCGGCTCCGAACACAAACCCCATCATAAGCTAGCATAGGCCTTTACCATTTTGGTAACAGTATCGACTAGCCACCCCCCTAGTCCGAAACACACCCTTCGAAATCCATATTCCCAATCTTTGAACACCTTCCTACCACCATCAAGCCCGAACCATTCCAGTACCCTCCAACATACAACATAGTTTCATCCAAACCCCACCCCACTCCACGGCATTGCCCTCGAAGTCTACCTGCCCAAGCACACCAGTCCTTACATCCCAGACTGCGTAAGCTAGACGAATTTTCGGGACGACCTGGCCAACGCGGCGCCGACGCATCTGACAAGGACGGACTAATCACAACTGTCTGCTTTTTGCTTGGTGTTGAGCTGCAGTAAACGCGATCGTATCTTGCTTCTTCCCCAGTCGTTCACGTCGACGTTTCTCAATGTTCTCTTTCTCCGGTTGGGGCACCCGGTCAATTTCGTTTATTCCTAGAGTTGTCCACTCGTGCAGCCAGTAGAATTGCAAGTAAAGCTGCCAGATTCAGTGTAAGTTCTCCGTCCTGCATTCAGCAGTGTCTCGGTTCGAATCGGTTCCAATCGGTTTGCGTTTCACAGCCCCTGCGTCCGATCTTGCCAAATGTCAAGTATGTTGCTGGGTGCAAAGGATGAAGAGCTGAGCAAGCCGTTGCTTGTCAGCAGCGGTGCGAAGCCATGGTGCCATAAGGGTACGTGTTTGGGCGTGGCTTTGGCAATGGTCTTTGCTTGCACGGTAGGTGTGGCAGTGGGGCAGCAGCCCCTGCTCAATTCCTCAATCAAGAAGAAGTTGGTGATGCTTGTTGCCATGCAGGACAAGTCAAGCATTGTCCATGGAATTGAGGGCACACCGAACTATGGCCACCTGACATCTTCTGACTTTCCAAAATCGCGTCCTTGGGTTTACCTGAACTTCGTGGATTGCATGGGTGATTTCTGGTTGTGGGCGCCCATCATGACAACCTTTTCAAGCACCGTATACAAGAACGAACAAAGGCTTTGTTATTGTGCCTATATCAATAGCACATCGGCTGCAGATGCTCAGCACCGCAACAAGATAGTCAGCTGGTGTGTGGAGGATTATCAGGGGAACAGTCACGCAGCTGAAACCTGCTTTGCAGACGTGTGCCCGAGCGCAGTCCAGAAGTGCACGGACCCCCCCTGCTTCTAACAAATAGCTGAAAATTTAAAACTAAGCTAATTACCTTAACATCCTTAGGCATAGGCCGGGGGTAAAGCAGGGGCGGTGGGTGGTGGCCAACGAGGGAGTGATTGAAAAGAGTGGCACGTGGGTTTTTCTCCGAACCCCCCTAGGCCCCGGCTGCCTCGCACCCCTAGGTTCAGGGCTGCCCTAACCCCTTCGGAAGCCCCCGTAGGAGTGCCTGTCGAGTGCCCGGTTTTGCAAACCCCTAGGCGCTCGATCCTCTCGCCGCCCGATTTCCCGAAGCCCTAGTCCCCCTGTGCTGCCCTTCGATACATCAGTCAGAGATTTCGAGTTATTGACCTGCTGGTGCTTGCGGGGGCTCTCGTTCGCACAGACACAGTTCCGAGCTTTTGAACCGTCCAGGCTTTCAACAACTCTCGCCTTGGCTCGAGGGAAAAGACTTGCGCTCAACATTCATGCCCTCCTGCCTGCCATCCCATTGGCGTCTCTAGCCCAGAACTCATACCTTCTTTGACTGAATCACACGTGTCCGCGAACTCCACCAGCGCGAACTCAACATCACACCGGTGTGATGTTGGCTTCCCCCGTGCAGTCCCCTCATCTCCTGTCCCTGGCACCCGCCCTGCCTCAGGAGGATCCTCTTCTTTGTCTACAACGCCGAGCCCGACAGCAGATCGGGCTTATTAGGAGTATGTTTTAAAACACGTAAAACAAAAATGCAACAACAAATAAACCCAAAATTTTGTACTAGCAAGCTTATAGATCAAACAAAACGCCAAAAACATAACAAAACAATTTCAATTGTAAAAACACAATACGCAAGCACACAGACAAGAAACAAAAAACGCAAAATCAATTTTCCAAATACATGCTGTGGGATTTTTTGGTGTTTAGGGAGGGGACAACCATAACGTTATACCATTAATAATGTTGTGACTGTTTTATGCCAGGGCAACCGCATGATCTACGTATTCCATACGTTGTTCTGTGGTTGTGTTACAATAATCTCTCCAACCAACCAGCCAAAGAAAAAACAAAACACTCACGGATTATCTCTTTCACGATGATCTCTTTTCTAACAGTAGCATTGCAAAATTTCTTAATCGCATTTTTAAGCTTGTATTCTTCCATTTCGTCTAAAGCCCTTGTAGTGTCATGGAAGTTTGAAATAACTCCATGTAACAAAGCCTCGTGATCTACTCCAAAACATGCAAAGTCCTGAAAGACCACATTATGAGAAATATTCATGAACTGGTTCATCATGTGTTTTCGTGAGTTGTTTGTCATGTTTACAACCTTCTCGTATTTCCTTCTATTCATATGTGTGTCAATATCATGGTTAGGAAAATACAAATGTAATAATATTCTTTGTACTTCGTTTCTTTTGGACCAACAAGAACGTTCATCAAAGTCGTTCATTGTTTCTAGTTTTTTCACACACACACACACCCACATACACCGATCGCACTTAGAATAATCGCACACCCTTTTGCATGTATCACACGGCAATTTGTTGCTCAATATCTTAATTTCTTGTATTTCTTCGCATTTCCAACATTGTCAATTTTGACCATTTCCTGTTATTACATATAGGCGTTGTTTCTTTAAACTTTTTTCCTGGGAAAAACTGGTCCTGAGCTTGCAACAATTCAATTCGCAAATACGGTCTCGTTTGTCCCTCCACATAATAAAAGTTGGGTCCTAACTTCTCTTCAATTCTTGAGATTGTATACACATTCTGGCTGAAATTGCCCGCTCTCTTTTTTCATTGTGTTTTCGCTTCCTGAATATCTTAACCTCATCTCCTTTGTCAACCTCGGCATGAATTCTATTGCGCCGTGCCTTACTGCTGAGGTTGAGTTTTACATTGAAAGCATTAGCCTCTCTTCTGGCTTCTTTTGGTGTCATCCCTGTGGCAGAGTGAGCCATCTGATTATGCGAACGGACTGCGATGCCTTGTCAAGTTCTAAGGTGTCACTATAAGAGCTGTGAGCAAGACCGTGTAAAGTGCATGAGAAGGGGGCACGCTACGCGTCCCTCGACTCTAAGGGGGCATGCTACGCATCCCTCGTCTTTACCTTTCTATGTGACCGCCAACGCAACGTTTGGCTCAAGTCAATGCCCATAGCTAAGTGCTATATGTGTCTTCTATCCTGAGCAATCAGAGCTATCCCGTTGCACAGACGAACCGCCGCCGGCAGTAAGTGCAAAAGGAACGGCCGCCGGTTCTGCCTGCATAGGATTGCACGTGTGGAAGTAAGAGGGAGAGACAGGGTCCAGTCTGTGGAGAGTGCAAGCCAGCCACACCTACATTCATTACAGCTCTGGTGGGGAGAGCAGCAACCAAGTCAAGATCAATCCCCCACGCAGGTTATCAGCCGTACGCGGCTCTGCCTTTCTACAGCAACGACTACTTGATCTACTACGACCACAATGAACTCAGGATCAAGCCAAGATACGACAATGACTTTCGGTGCCGATGTGGCAGCGCCAGCCGTTGGTGAGTCAACAGCTGATGACACAGTGGTGCAATCCGTTGATAGCTCCACGGAAGATGACAAAGGTCAATCTTCTGCGCTTGCCATTGCAAAGGCAGTTCCCAAGGGGAAAGCAAAGAGTCTACCAAGAGCATCTACGCCTTCGCGTCCGACATCCACAGGTTCGAGGACGGGCAAGGCTTCAGAACGACGGGCCGAAGCGTCTGGTTTTCAGGCACCTCGGACTACGTCCAGGGCCAAGGACAAAGGAGTCAAGACCTTGGAAAAGAAGTCAAGGCCATCATCTTCGAGAAGCTCTTCAGCACGATCGAGGACCTCAGCCACTCGTGGGCGTGACAAATCCATGACTTGGAATCGGATGGTTACCAATCAACCACGCGATGCTGACGATCTGGATATGACTCTGGATACGATTCCTGCACGTGGTGATGCGTCGTCCGTGGCCACGCCTGCCATAGCTGATGGTCCGAATGCCTATCAGGAACCGACGATTTCGCAACAGTTCGAAGCATCGAACCTTGCACAGCAGATGTACTATCGCAGTCAGGTGCAAGAATACGAAGGAATCGTCCAGACCCTGATGGACAAGATCAAGGAGATGCAACAAGAAGATGAAGGATCTGGAATTCGCATTGAAGAATTGGAACGACAACGTGACCATGCATGCTTAGCCATGAGGCACATCAACAATGTCAATCAGGAGATGAAGCGAGACTATGAAACAGCTTTGTTTCGCATGGATGAACAGAACTCTGCTCAACAACGTCAAGCACATGCCGTTGCCGAGGAGTTAGCTCAACAGCTACACGTGTTCCGCACGGAGGCAGCCACTAACTTTGTGCAGTTGGAGGCAAGAGCGCAAGGCGATGGTGAGCTTATGGCACGTGAGTATGAGCGTCTGACTCATGAACTTCATGAACACGCCAGAGAGAACTTGGTCCTCCGGTTCAGCGTTCGGCAGCAAGTTACAAGCAATTAGCAATGCGATTTCCACTTGGTCAAGAACCAGGAGTTGCGGGCTGTGAACGAGATCCAAGGGCTAGCTGGAAACAGCGCAGCCATTGATCAAGAACGATTTCGGCTTCGCGAACGTCTTGGTGAAGAGGAAGAGTACCGCAAAATGGCTGTGAAGAGGATGCAAGAAGCAGAGGACGACTTCATCAGAATGAAGATCATGCAAGGCGATCATTGCCTACCTTGCACGACGAGCTGAGTGAACTCAGGAAAACGCTCAAAGCACAAGAAGATCTTCAAGCGAGGACACGCAGCGAATTGGAGGCAGCGCGAAACTCCAATCACGGAGGAGCGACACGGCCTTCTAGCATGCCCATGTCTTCGAGGACTACTGAGTCTGGCTGGGAGCACGTAGGAAAGGAAGTAGTGCCTGCATTTTCCGTAGGAGGTGAGGTACGATCCCCTGAAATACGGTCCCCAAGTCAAGTTAGTCCAGTCGCCAAAGAGAAGTTCGCATTCTCGGAATCGGACAAGGACAAGAACCTTGTGATGGATGGAATTCCATTCACCGGTGGAAACTTCTTCACTGGCCGCAGTTCAATGCCAATCGTGGCGGATGCAATGCCCGAGCACTACGTGCCAGGTATTAGCAGCCCAGCACTTGCGCGTTCCACGCCTAGTGCAGCCACTTTGTTCGGCATACCAAGCGGATTTCATGGGAAAAGTGATGCGGCAGCCGTGCGTGATCGACAGCTACGCGAACTCTTGGAGGATCGCGGGATGTTGGGATCGAAGTCCACAGCATCTGCCAGCTCCTCAAGACCTGTTGGTATCGACGGTGTTACCGCATCTACGAAGGGCAACGACCTCATCGGTCCCCCTATTGCCTATGACGATTCCATTCATGAAGCAAGAAGACGTCAGATCGAGAAAGAGGTCGCGGAACGGTACGAGGAGAAGATTGCCGATCTGCGAAGCGAGGTACTCAAGGCCCAGAAAGCCGAGCAACGTCTCAGAGCTGATCGTGATGAGTGGAAGTTATTCGCTGAAACGATTCAGGAGGATAATGGAGACGATGACGGTGACGAGGCTGGCGACGAGAACGAAGATGGAGAGCACGATGAAGGAACCGGCACGGGGTATGACCCTCCTGACCCGCCTGACGATGATGATGATGATAAGAAGAAAAGCGGTGGAGGCAAACCTGAATCGGATCCTGGCTCGCATGCGCGTGATCCTGATGGAGACGCGGATCCTGAAGTCACAGAGGTGAGAATTTCCAGGAGGGAAGCCGACAAAGTGACCGTTCCTCCATGGCCTACTCTCACTCATCTCAACAACTGGCGATCCGTGTGCACGGCCAATGTCTTAGGGGCATCAGCCGACCCACATCATGAGGACTGGATGTTATGGCTGGCACCAGCGTTCAACCCATTCCCTGATGTCGAAGCATTGAATGATTCAGGACACAAGAAGTTCAAGAGCATAGACGTCAAATTGGGGATCGCCATGGTCGCAATGCTACGTGCCGGTGGTGACAAATCAGCTGACCTG